GATTGCTACGCACACTAATATCAAAGGTCATACACAGGATTGCTATGCACACTTTATCATCATACACAGGATTGCTATGCACACTATATCAGAGGTCATACACAGGATTGCTATGCACACTATATCAGAAGTCATACTCTACTTTCGTAACCAAATTTGTTCTTCAGTGTTTTATTGCATTCCAATTCCCAGATACATGATATATTATTTTGAAATCTGACATGCGAAACAAGTGTTATACTGCATTGTGGATAATATGCAAGGCCTAATGCCGGTAGGTTGATTTCTAAAATAAAGATTCATTGCTGGTTTTTAGAAGTTGGAAAATACAATGTTGTAAATATCTCAAACAAGAAAAGCACCTGATTGAGGGCAAGAAACAAACAAGTGAGCAAAATACTTTCATTAGAATTATTTAGGAAAATGAAAAACATACTGTTCAACAAACATGATGTAGTTTAACATAAGTTCTTTAGCAGATAAATACATATCTCAATCTACATAGCTTGCTAACAAAAATAAAATACTCAATTAGGAATGTGCAGTTAAAAACATTTTTCTGTAGATTTTCTATCCACCCCTAGTAACCAACTATTCAAAACTCAACTACAAATGCAACACTGCTTTTTATGTCTATTTCTTTTTATCTTGGTGGTGGTGATGAGATGAATACTGGTATTTCTGTAATTCGGTTTTCAAATTGCTAACTTTAGACCTTTCTTGCTCTAGAGATGCTGTTAGTTCAGAAACCTGTGAAAGACACAATGGGATCAATGGTTTGAGGGAAGAAACATATTTTTGTCCCAGCTTAGTCATGTGCAAAAATGGTAAATGGTCACATGTCCACCATATCAAATCTAATCAGGAAATCAAATCATACGCATTGTTTACTGTAACATTATATATCTGAAACAGCAAACATTAGAATACAACCATGTTCAAAAGTGTTGGGATGTGTTTGAATGTTGAATTTGGAAAATGTGTGTCACTTTTAACATCACATTCAAAAACTTTCTTTTGTTTACATCTTACTCAGCAATAATGCAGTACTCGACTAAAATAAAAATCAGATCACTGAATTCAAACAACGACACAGGCATAAATACATTTTTCTGACATTAATATCTCACTAAATTATCACAAAACACCAGAAAAGATGTATGATCATATGGTTATCACCAGAATACATATACCGTACTCGACCACGTTAGCGCCCAGGGGCCTCAACTCAGAAAATCACGATTTTTTAGGGGTGGGCGCTTACCCGAGCACCCCCCTCGAAAAAGAGTGCAAATGAAAAATTTGATTCATCAAGTGACAGATTACGTCTTTGAGGGAAATCAAATTACGAAATTAGTTGAGTCGTCATTGATTTTCACAATGAAGAAA